AGGAATGGAAAGTGTCTCGGAGAAAACAAGACTCTCTGCCAACATGGAAACTGAAGAAATGATGCAACAGAAAATTCTTCGTGTGCACAACAGCCCGAGTTAAAAACTAAGCAGTGCTTCAGGCATTCATAATAGCTTCCCTGCATATCAATGGAGGTGAAGTGAAAAGATAGGTATAAGGACTCTTCTAGACCTCACAAGCAAGATAAAACCTCTTCTTATACTTAAAACATGAATAGCTATAGTTTTCAGTCATTGACTTAAGATGGTAAAGGACTGCTTTTCACCTTTTCTGCTGTCCAGAGTTCAGAAAGGTCCACTGAATGCTAACACAAGCAAACTTCTCAGTGCTAAACAAAGGCTGTTTTCTCTTCTTCTGGATTTTTAAAACATTTCCTAAAATTCTTGTATGCTTCAATCCAGTCCTCCTCTTTCTCTTTTCCCCATCTTCTGGATTCCCAAAAGAAAAGCAGACCATGTTCATGAATGCGTTCTTCTCCTCTGTCTCAGAGCGGGGAGGGAAGAGAATTAACTGCAAAGCACATCACCTCCAACACCGCTCTCCCAGGCTGCACGCCAAGGCATCTTCAAGGTCTTGATCTCAGACATCAGTCTGAGAAATACATTGTGAAGAACAGAATACATATTGCTCCTGTTCACTTCAGATTACAATTCCATTCTCCAGTTCTTCTTGGTTGCATTACGCATAATTTTCTTGACTAATACGACCTATTTAAAAAGAAAAAAAAATATCTAGCTCCTTTCTTCTTAGTCAGAATCTGACACTAAATAACTTACTGAAACACGTAACATTTTGGTATGAAGTACCCAAAGAAATCTGCCTGGAGCAACACTTCATAGCACAGAAAAGCTCTGCCAGTCACCAAATCCAAGAGCACAAGCAGCATGGCAACCTCCCTGCCCTTAAAGCTTGCTTTTTTCTTTTTTTTTCCCAGCATTTCAGTGAACTCTTTCATTATTCCAGGTCACATATAAAAATCTATCTGTACCTATCTATTGGTACATCTATATCTATTTGTCCAGTATGAAACATCATATAATTGTAAAAAAAACCCTGTGCAACGGATGGTGGTACTATATGGTTGCTGTTCTGTTTCCTCAGTGTTTGGGGGCTGCGAGTTGATTTACCCACTCCAGGAATATACAACGGTTCTCTCAAACACAAGTCTAGATCAAGGAGGTTCTATCCCAGCACAAAACCACCCAACCCACAAAGCCAGAAGAATAAACAAAATCCCTGGTCTTTTCTTGTTTAAGCTAATCAGACGGATTTATTATTTTCCTGTCACCAGTTGTTTATCTCAGGTTTGAGCTAATTATTCATCCATTCCTAAAAGTATATAAAAAGAAGAACAATAGTCCAACAAGTACAAGTCACTCCATTTACTCACCAGTCCATTTCCTTTCAACCTTTCCAGAGTTCAAACACAGGAAGCGTGCAAAAATCCTGGGTTAAGCGGCAGAACTTTCTGAATAATTACTAAAAAGAAACCTTGTCCATACAGAGCACTTTCAAAGGATAATCAAAAGAAAATCATAAATGAAAAAATGCTAAAGTATTTATAGCACTAGACAGAGGGCCACAGGTGCCATAGAGCTGATCCCCAGAAACAGAGTTTCCAGGTTACATTTTAATTAAGAAAACATCCACATATATGTCAATGTGAAACAAAACATTCCAAAATGTAGTCTCTTACATATTCCAAATCTAGTTTGCTAATATGCAATAGCATTATTATTATTATTTATTTAGCCTATCCCCTACTGCCTCACAAAGGCAAAACTGATTTTGGAAGTGAAGAGCTTGCATGATATGCAGAACGCATACTCTATACATTCCTTCCATGAACATACTTTTGAGTGAAGCCTTTTTATGCAACCAGTCAAATTCCCCAAACTTGGTGTCCCTACATACATTTCACCGCATGGATATGACCCATTTTCCTCCTCTAGTCCCATATTCTTTTATGTCGTTCTTTAAAAAAAAAAAAAAGTTTAACCATTAAGTGAAAAATGTCCACAGGCATCTTACACTGCTTTATTTAATTAAAAACAAAACAAAACAAAACAAAAAAAAAGCCCCATCCAGACAGCTTCTTCTTTTGGAGAACAGCTTTACATTCCTGAGTGTGAATAACTGTTGGAACAAGACTGTCGCTAAATGTTCCAGGACTTGTCAGACATTGTAATCAGGGGACTTTCCCTGTGGTTGTCTCAGTCGAATTTGTAAGGTAGAAAATGCTCCCACAGTCACATGAAAGAAGAGCTGCCACAGGTTGCGCAGTTCATACAGATACATGTTACACAGGCAAATTAACCCAAAAGTCAGGAAGGATTTGGCATTCCTCCAGCCCGTGTAGTATACAAACAGGTAACACTGTCAAGAAATAAAAAAGAAATCAGATTACCACATGGCAAATAACTTCCACTGAAGAAACACTATCAGGTCATTGAGAAATTACAAACCCAAAACAAGTAAAAGTCTAAATCAAACACGTAAGAACAGTATCAATTTAGCAGCCATGGAAGGGTGAAAAGTACCTGACATCAACACAAGGTTACATTTCGCTTCCATTAAACCCTCTTGGAGAACAATTCTCTCATAATAACTGATCACAACCTGCAATAACGAGCAGCCCATGACAAAGGAAAGTGGATGTTCCTGGCAATCTCTGGTCCAAATACACTCTGTTCCACCCGAGCAATGGGGAAGGAACAAGAGCCAGTGTTAAGTCTTCTTCAGGCAAAGCAATGGAAGGACAGGGAAAATACCAGGGCCCTGCAGCCAGGAATACTCAGCACAAGGCAATCCCCCAGATACCAACCCCGTGTCCTGCTAGGGTTAATGCACAGGATTAACCGGCGGATGCAGAGTGGCCCACATGTATCCGCTGTCCTTCAGGCGGTGCAAGATGGATCACATTTGGAGAGAAAGACACAACACCTCTACTGTAGTTCTACTGTGTTTTAAGGGTCAGTTTCTGCAAGCTGTGGTGTAACACACAATGTCAGGATGGGCCACAGTTTCCCACTCTGCCTTCTTCCTATTGCAGCTGGAAATCTGTTTGAGCCTCTCGCCTCAGTTTTCATCTCTAAAAGAACACAGCTGTCCAGTACTTTTTTGTGGACATTATTTTTACTTCTCCTATTGTTCAAACTACTTCTTCAACTTCCACAAAAAAAACGTTTGCCCGCTCTGGATTCTAGCCGTTTCCATCTGATGAAGAAAGTTTTTGCTGTGCTTCAAGGTAGATAAACAACATAACTTGGGCTTACTTTGTATTCCAAACCTGTTCCCAGTAGATATATAACCATGCTCACACAATTTTTTTAACAGCATTCATCATCAGATTATCTAATTGTCATTTCTGTTCTTCTTGGGCATTTGCCACATTTTATCAGAGTCAGAGAAACTCTAATTAATTTTTTTTTTTTTTTTCATTTTTCATGTTCCTCGAAAAAGGGGCAAAAGCATTGTACGCTCGCAACCGAACAATCCAATTTATTGAGGTCAGTTTATATTCTATTTGAAACAACCCCTTATAAAGCATGCATTTCCATTGTAACTGTGGCTCAGATTAACAAAACTACTTGTGATTTCTGGATATCTAAATATCTTCGGAGACGTGAGTACTGACAATATCAGTAAGATTTGTATGTCCTTCCTTCAAAGCAAAGTAAAACTACAGATAAAGCAATCCACGTGTTTCAGAATCTAGATGGAATTCTTCTGAACCTGCTTGGCCATTTTGAGCAGAGCAAACGCAACCTACTTGTGCTGACAAGTTTTACAAACCATATATGAAAGAGCAATTAGTTGGTACTAGTATCTCAGCAATAAGAATTCAGATAATTTCCTAGCGCCATCGCCTCCACTGACAACATATGAAGAAGTGTAACTGCTTCCAAGATTAAAATAAGAGTCAGGATATGCTTCATCAAAATGATTAATAAATATGAAGGGTTTAAAAAGCAAAAATAGTACAGAATTTTAAAAATGTTACTGCAACATGATGTTGAATGACTGTGAATTTTACTGAAGATCTGTTTTAAATGAATTCTGAGGCTTATCTTTTTGTTAGTCTAGGACTGAGATGCCAGAAGATTTGCCACTTACAAAACAGAGCACCGTTCAAAAGGCCAAAACACCGTGGTTTTAACACCTTACTATAACAAGTGCTGTTATAGTAAATCCTGAGGGGTTTTTTTCTTCTATTAAAGGGAGGTGTTAGCATGGCAATTACTGAGCATGCTTTTATGTAGAAGGCTCCTCTGTGCTACTTCAGAGAAGATTTTTTTTTTTTTTTTTTTAATACATGGTAAGAAACAACTGAAGGCTCAGCTCCTGACGCTTTGCACTCAGGTACAACTGAGACAGTTGTTACTTTTGTACATTTTCTTCTTCAGAAGAGACTAGAAACCATGGAGGAACACTAGACATATCAGTGAGCCTAAAACATCATATTCCATGTTAAGTCTTGTTTTTTGCCTGCACATCTAGGTACAAACATTTTCCTGGAAACCAGAAAGAGCAACACTGCTATGTTGTTATTAACTGAACAAGACAATGCAGCATTATGGATGCCTTGTGGGTGAATGACAATAAAATGTGCTGTCATGCAACATACGGAATTAATCTCCCGAACTCCTAAGCATGGCAAAAGAACATCAGGACATGCCAGAGAACTGACAGCCCTCTTAGTTCTGAAAACTGACCAATTACATATTGTAGGAATGGTACCAGAGGGTGCAGAACAAGAGTCCCAACAGATATATTTTGAATATTAAGAAAAAGCCTACATTCTGAGCTGCATGGATTCTTTCTTTAACACAGCTCTATTCAAGTCAGACAGTGGGGGAAAGACATATGTCCTTACGTCTCAATGCACAGACATGAATACTTTATAAAGAATAAGGTTTCTAATTTGGGAGAGGAGGGAAGAATGTCTATTTTTCACACAAAAAAAGAATGGAGGAGCTCCACTTTATCTGATATGGAACAGATTGTTAGCATGGAAAATTAACACCAATCTGAAGAATTATTTAGGCAGAAGCTGACGAAAAGTCAACAAGTGGTGAAGAACACAAGTTGTACTGTGACATGTTGCTAGAGATAAGTTAAAGAGAATGGAGATTACAGGTAACCAGGACAAAAGGCTGACTGACAGAAAGGCCGATATAAAAGGAAAATCCTGAGACATTATTTTATTTTATGGTCTGACACTGTACTAAACACTGGCACATGGAAACAAGTAGAAACTGCATACTCCACAAGTGCAAGAGACTAAAAGTCAAAAGAATTATAATAACAGCAATTGAGCATGATATAGTCATAGCTAAATGTAACAGCAGTGTCACTGAATGACAAATGCCAATGGGCACCAGAGTACCTTGCTACAAATTATATAGGAAAGTCAAATTCAGATGCAGAAATGGAAAACCCACAGACATGAAATGCAATGTGAAATATCAGACAGGAGAAGGAAAACATGGTGGAAAGTGGCTGAAAGCTCTGAAAAGGAAGGAGATGCACAATAGTGTATGAAGTGAGGAAAATTCTGGGATGTAATGCCTAGGTATTACTGTATTTACTTCAAATCTCCCCAAAGGAAAGAAGCAGTAAGGCATTTGTTCAGATGGTTAAGTTTACCTGAACTATGAAACTACTACTTTAAGGAAATTCTATAACCTCCACTCCTTGTCACTTTAGAGATACATTGTAAGCTCCAGACAGAAGAGTACACCAGATCTCTTAACTAACTGGAGAAAAATGCCAGCAAACAGAAGCTCTTTGTATCAATCTACTTTATGATAGTTTATGCTTAATGAAATAAAACAGAGCAGAAATTATTTTTATAATCGCCCTGTTCAAGTATCTGTGACATTTGAGAAAACATGATGACATTTATGCATGACTGGGTAATGTTTCTAAACTCTAGTGAATTATGTGAGCAGAAGAACACACCTGGTACAAACAGGCTGCTGTTCCAAGAAAAAATGCAATAACATAGCTGAAATCTTCACCTTCATTCTGTGAAAATAAAACAAAAAGCCATGTTTTATAATGCTTCAGTGAAATACCAGATATTTCCAGTATAAAACTTACTAATTATTGTATGTTAAAATACTCTCACATAGAGATTTATAATAATTCCTGTACTACACTAAACCAAGAAAGTTAGCACTAATCAGTGCTTACTTATACATCTGGAAATCTGGAATCTGACCAAAATGTTTATTCACAACAGACAACAAACACTGAGATTTTCCAAAGCCTTAGAGGAAGCCCAGCTCTAACACTGGATACTTACCGTCTCCAGACGCCTTTGAAAATTCAAGGCTAAACTCTTGTAACTACCTTTAAGATCAACTTTGTAGAATTGTGCCTTCCTCCAGCTTCACAAAATGGAAACGAGACAAAAGGAAAAGACACAAAGTGGCCACTAGAGTGTGGTAAAATTCTGCACAGCGAGTAACGCAGGCAGCTCTGCGTTCCTGGCAGTGAGAACGAACAAAAGCACATGAATTTATCAGAGAGAGCTTATTGGAAAATTAAGTTTTCTTGAAGGAAAAGATGGAAAAATTTACCTGAAGTGATAGATGTTTCTACTCTGTGTTTAAAAAACAAAACAAAACAAAATTCCTTCTAACTTATTCAAATCGGTTGTTAAGAGTTTCTATAGAGCTGAGCAGAATTAATTTACATGTTGAGTGATTATTCTAACTGCATCTCCAACAAACATCTGCGACAATCAGAAACTTTCCCAGGAAAACAATGGGTACTCATGCAAATGGTCTCAAAATGATATTTGCTTTTAAGGAAGAAGAACATGGTCCACTCAGAACTACAACTTGTTTCTGCTCAGAGTATGTTCAGTGTGAAGCATTTCCATCTACAGTGCTGACTAGGAGAAAGTTTGTATGTCCACACATAAAACTCACCTACACGATGCAGCACACTCCTAAACCGTATGTGTATCTTTGCCTCGGTGCCACTGCATATTTGGTGGAGTACAGCTACAGATTGTCATAGAGTTTTGCTAACACCCAAATAAAAACACTGATAATAAAGGAAACACTAATTCAGAGAGAAGCTTTTTAATGGCTTCTCAGAAGTTCCATTAATCACATTTTGGATTATTTCTCCCTAAACTTTATGGATTTTTCCATAATAAAGTAAATTAAGAGAAATTTTAATGGATTTTTAGTGTGCCTCATTTGTCAGAAATTAAAAAATATCTTCCATCTGTACTGCCATCTATTACCTCCAGATGCCATAACATATAGAATAAAATTAATTGGCTGGCCTGTCATCACTTAAATAGGTTAATCTAACATTGGCATTCCTCTTTAAAAAATCAGCTGGAGAAAGGTAACAAAACAAGTTCTAGAAACATGACACTAAGTGGCAGGAATCTCTTCAGTACTATTTGTACTACAGTGTACTTTAAATTCATTCCTATTTATAAAGCGAGAGAATTGTGCATAACACAGAAAAATCTAATTAGGGATAAAGTAGAGTTCACTATTTCCTTCTTGGTTTTTCTTTAAAAAACAAACCTAAAACAACTCGAAAGAAGGACCTAGCATGGAACACTTTCATTAACACCGTTCATCCATTCATTAGTCTTCAGGAAATGCTGAGACCTCAAACATTACTGCTTTATTAAATCTTTACATGTATCAATAATTATGTAAGACAACTGGAATACAGGTCATCTTCTTTATCTTAATTCCCTATAAAATCCATTAGGTATGAAAAGCATTGCAGTTATAAAGTCCAGATATATGTTTGAATAAAAAGATTATCTATTAGCCAAGCAGGAGGATTCCCATTTTCTTTCAGAAAACTCCCACGGTGTTTTTAGTTTCTACCTCCATCACCACAACAGCAGAGCCATTTAATCTTAAGTAAGTCTTTTTTTTTTTTTTTTTTTTTTTTTTGGTAAACACCTCTAAAACGCCGAGTTCTGCTAAGTGCTTTTTAAGTTGTATTTTTTCCGTGGGGGCTGGGGTGTCATTTGCACGCTAGAATTTTGTGCAATTTATAATCACCACTGGCTAAGACTATTTCTTGAGTTTGATACTCCTAGCCCCACCCCACAAAACAACGCCCAGCTTATTTTTATAAAAAATTTTTTTTTTTTTTTTTTTTTTTTTTTTGTGGTAACACACATGAACTTTCTGTGCGTGCTTGCAGGGACTACCAGCACATTCACTTGAATTGCTTGAAATCATTAAGCACTATTATTTTCACTGTAGCAATGAGAATACAACTAGCACAAGAAATGGAATACAAAGAAACTGAAAGGCTATAGGGAGGGTCAGAGCGGAGAGTTCACATACATAAATAAATGTTTGCTGGAGAGGTTTCTTGGTGGGGGAGGGTGTTGTTGTTTGGGTGGGGGGTGTTAGAAGAAATCACTTGACAGTTTCCCTTATGCTGATCCTTTCAGTACACAAAGAGAAATAAGCATCCTACTTAAGAAGGTCTATTAAAAACAAACAAACAAAAACAAAAAAAGGTTTCTAAAAAACAATTTTACAAAAGCTGTTTAAAGATCCCTGCTCTGTGGACCTTTCCAAAAAATTGGCCAGATTTTCAAAGCTGTTCATCATTTCTCTCAAGTGTTTTTAAATAACATCTATTAAAATTAAGCGTCTCATATCCTGGCATAAATTTAGAAAACAGAACATTATGTTCACATACTCACTGCTACCAAGGTACCTAGGGAAGGAGTCAGCCACCCACCTTCTACTGCTTTAGAAACTCACAGCCTCAATGAATGATGCACCATGCACCACACTCAAGAAGGATGCACAGATCACAAACACAGGTTTCATAAACAGAGGTCTGACCTCACAAACAATATTTCTGAAAAGAAAACTAGCAAGACGTAGTTCATATAGCAAGCATCTTCTAAGGTGATGTTATGATTGCTGTGATGCATAACTCTTCAATTCATAAACGTGTACAATACCTGGAGAAGACTTTCTATGGCATGAAAGCCACGAATTAAATTCAAAGCCCCACATAACAGACTAAGCACAAATGAGACAATCCCTGGCAGAGTCACAGGTTCCAGGCGCTGATGAGGAGCTGCAAAGCAGAAGATCAAAATAAGATATCAAAGGTCAAAGCAATGTCTTTCAAAACTTAGTGAAATAGTAATCTCATTTCTCAGTGGCTTCTAGCTCAAGAAGAGATCACTAAAGCAAACAACAAAATGTCAATCTTTTTTTCTAAAAAGAAGAAGAAACATTTTAAATATTTCAACACAACGTTTAACAAAAAGTATACTTTCCTTCAATTCACATATATGGTTGTCTTATTATATTTAGTCTTTAACTCAATACATTCAGTTTATTCAGTATGGTACTGAAAAATGCTCAAATATGCCACGAAATTGATGGCAAATGCTGCATTTGCTAGTGAAATTTGTCCAAAATTAGTAGCCAGCCAATAAGTCACGTACTTAAGAGCTCCTCTCACAACCTCCACTTTTTTTTAGCACTAATGCATTAGCAGAGCTATCGAGACTGATTTAGCTTGTTTGCTGAACAGAACACTATGAGGCAAAGCTATTACAGTCCCCTACCTTAAAAAATACAGCCAGTGAGTGCTACCAAAGACACAAATAAAAAGACAGCTCTGAAACTAAGCTAGTATCTATATTACAACCTTACACAGACCTTCCAGATAGTGCTGAGAAGTCTCTTAGAAAACACATGAAAATTAAAAAACACGTTCTTTCCATGCACACCCACTCTTTCAGGCTTAGCTAGGGTCACAAGCACATAACAGTTGTGTATGTTCCTCATTATCGTCCCTTGCCGTAATTAATAACAGAAAGTAAATATGAAAAAACAATGCAAAACTTAACAGTCTAGGCAACACTGGGAAAACAATAGGACTACTGAGCCATACTTAAATCATTCTGTTCAAATCAACGAAGTGTAAAGATGTGAACAATGAGGTTAATGAACTGTAACATTAATAGAGAGAGAGGTGTCAATCCTGGTTGTTTGCATTGCACAGATTTAGGAAAAAGGCTTTCCAGTTTATGAAGTTACAGAACCTAAAGACAAAATGACAAAAGCTATTTCACGATGATAAGCAGACAGGGCTGTCTAATTATGAGTGTGTGATAACTTAAAAATAAAGCACAAAATTAGTTCATTTAACTCATTTGTGCTGAATATAATAGTGTAATCAGTATTTCTTTTTAAAACAAAAGCATAACCCACGTTTAATTTTCAGAGCTTATTGCTTTTCTAAACCGTAGTGCATATTAGAAGAACACTACCAGCAATCACTCAGTTAAGGTTACATATGGTCTTTGCATACCAAACCATTCCTTTCCAGTGACTCCTAACTGGTTGTTCTGGGTTTTTTAAACCATCTCATCTAGACAGTGCCAAAAAGCTGAAGGTGTACGTGACTGTTTTTAGCCAAAAGTCACTGTATTTCATTAACTGGTGGACAAAATTATTTCACTGCTCTCCATGCACAGTTCTCCAGACAGTCTCATTTTCCCCATGTATCAGGGTAACTTCAAAATATCATGTCTTAAAACAGTATTGAAAACACCTCTTTGAGAACCATGAGGGGAAAAGTAAAGAGTCTTTGTCAGCTAAATCAAGACAGTCTATGAAGGATTATAAAATAGCAACTTTTCTCTCTTATTAAAATACGAAAACAAACCCAGAAACCTGGAAGGACATTGCATATCGCTCCTGATGTCATTAAGCTCTCCAGGGCTTAATAAATTTTCGTGTTACAATCAAAGCAACAAGGGTCATTTCTTAAATACAAAAAAAAAAAAAAAAAAAAAAAAAATAGGCAAAACCAGAAGAATGAAGGAGGAGTGTCAGAGAAGGCAGGGTAAAGGACAGCTGACCTTGAGTCAGTACATCCATAAACCTTAGAGAGATCATAACTGCCATATCAAAAACTCTCTAACACAAGCGAAGGATCATATAAAGCACAAGTTCTAAAGTAAAATGTTGAAATTTAAATAAAACATTAGGAAATCTGCACGACATAAGAAACTGCAGTACTTGTAAGGACGCTTATTTAAAAATAAAAAATAAAAATCAAGTACACCATCAGGCAAAAAGTAACTTTGATTTGAGAACTGTTCCTTTGTTGAAAAAAAGCTAAGAAAACAGTAAATTTATCCAATTACAAGTATAAGTAAGTAACAGACAATGCTTCATCAGCAGAGCCAGAACTAACACATCAAATTCTGCTATTCCATGTAAGAAAATAAGATTTGTGTCTACCTAACTTCCTACCTTTGCACGCTATCCAACCTGATTTAACATACTTAATTCACTTATAGCAAGTCATATTTTTTAACAGAACAGCATATTCAGGAAATTACACTAGGCAAACCACATCTTTTTGTGAGAATTTATCCTTAGAGCAAAGGAGAAACTTTGAAGTCTAGCCAACTGAGTGGGTAGCAAACATCCAGGGAAAGTTCTTTTCAAGGATGGAGAGAAGCAATGAATGTAAAGAATTACAAAACTATTAGCAGACTTGCTAAAAAAGACACTATTATTCAATAGCATCTAAAATTTGAAGAGGTGAAGGAGCAAAGTGCAAACCTCTCATAATGTACAGCCCTTTGATGGTGAGTTTCTACAGCAATTCAAGGAAGGAAGCAGATAACTGAACAGAAAGATCTATGGAATTCAGAGAAGAAAGTTAAAAGTAACTGAAAGAGGGAAAAGAACAGAAGAAAGTTGACACAGAAAGAAAAGAGGACAACAGAACCGCTTCTGTAAGACAAGTTGTGGAGAGATAGGTAAAAAAAATCGGAAGATCATCTGCCAATTATTGTTTAATTTTACTTTACAGTAAAAAGGGAAATGGTCCTTAGGCATTTTAATTTAGGCCCATATGATCTTCCAACACTTTTATTCAGAAAAGTGATAAAAACCTTGTCTACCACTACATGGACAACTTTAAAAACACAGCCAATTTTGTCACAGGCCAAATTCTCTCATGCTTATTGTTTTTTCTTCTTCCAATTGCAGGAAGTTTGAATCTAGACAATCTTCAGAGTTGACCAGTTGCCACTTCTGCCACCATAACCTTTTCCACAAGCCAGGATTACACTAGAACATTAAGAGGTAACAACGATGTAAGCATCAAAAGTGGCAAAAGAATGCTATCACAGCATTACATACCTTTAAACACAGCCCACACATATAAGCAGTAGATGATTAAAGGTATGTACAGTGCTGCTTAAAAAATTCCACTTCTCTAAACAATTTAAACTTCTTCACATATTTCCTGTATTAATTTTCCAGAATCTATCTCTAATACTGTTAAATTGCAAATACAGAGATAGTAGGCTATTTCTACACTGTCTCACAGCACCTAGAATTCTCAGGATCAGGGCCCCAGCAGTACAAACAGGGCACCCTATTGATTTTGTTTGGTTTTCGTCTTCAGTAGAAAGTAGTTTTCAATCTTCTAGAGGAATCCCTATGAGTAAGTAAAGTAATTAGGATAATATACTGGCAAAGAGATCCTATTTTTATATATATATAAACTGCACAAAATTAAGTTGATCTCTTCTATCACAGAACTGTAGGAAGCATTTACATGTAAAATTGCAATTTTCACCCTGACACTGTGAAGTGAATGGCATCGGTGCATGTCTGCCCAGGATAACTAGCCTTGTAGACAGAGGTACTTTTGGGAAAAAAGGGGAAGATATTAACAATTTAAAATCAACACTTCCTTTTATTCTATTTATGATTTTCCTTCACTGAACTTGGAAGAGTGAAATCCGATTATGTCAGTTTCACGTGTGCAGTCCACGCATTAGTGCAAAGACTTGGCGAGTTTTACATTTTCTGTCCTGCTGGGAAACATCTAAAGGTGGGCCTCGAACTGATTCAGAGCATTCACTTAATAGCACAAACCTTTAACCCAGTTCAACCACACAATTCCATATTTACCTCCTACATGAAACAAACTGAAGTTTTAAAAAATTAATGATTATTTAAACGAATGTGGCAAGTATATACAAAATTGCTATTATTAACATCATACACAAGGCACCGATTTTAGAGAGTACATCTTTTAGCCAGCACAGCTCTTTGGATTTTCACCGTCACAGATGCTTCCTAAAGTGATGCTTCTCCCTCCAGCTGCTCTAACTCCTGACACTATGCTCTTAGCTTATGTCATGTTTCGGTCTTACTAGGCAGAAATAATAAAAATTTTCATAGATCTTAAAGGGTCAGAAAAAGAAAGAAGATCATCTTGTTAAGTGCTCAGCTTCATTTGCTTATTTTCATGCAGATTTTTTTTTCCTTCAATAAAGCAGTCCACTGAATAGACCCAGTTCTCTCTCCAAGTGCCTTGGGAAGATATGCACTTTGAGCAGAGGACAAAACAGATATCTAAGCTAAAATACATGTATGGTCATGGCAGCGTTATACTTTAAGAACATCACGGTGAAAAAGCTTTTTATAAAGGAAAAAATATCAAGATTAATTCTACTACCCTGCATCTGTCTCATTTAAGGATACAAAACCAAAAGCCTGAAACTTACCCGCAGATATCTTACCAGTACCCTTATACTCCACCACAGATAAATGTGCGAAGCCATTAGCTGAACCAAGTTCTGACATGGAAATTTGATAAGGTGGTCTCAGTTTGATTTCTGTCTGCATGTCAGCAAGATTCATCTTTGTTGACAAAGAGCGTGTGTTGTTGTATCTCTGTTTGGTCCTCTGAATGAAATTATCTGTGTAAAATTTAAAATGAAAAGGTATATCCTTATGGACTTTCATTAATTTTTGTTAATCCAAGACTATGCAGCTTTATGTACTACATACTTCACAAATTGAAACATATTGTTTGAAATGCCTGTATTTATCTTAGATTTTTTAACAGTATTTCTGTTTTGTGACTAATATATCATGGGCTATTTAATTCTGCAGTAAAAAAAAAAATTAAGCTCTAGAAATCTAATTACTTAGTAACTGTGAATAAACTAATGACTTTTCACCGCATGAAACTGAATGCATTGCTAATACAATGGTTTTACTGCACTTATTCTAGCTTTCCCATTAGTTTAGTAAATATCCTTACGAAAAAATTAACTCTTGCATTCAAGTATAAACTTACTTGAGTATGCAACGTACTTGCAAAATATTCAGGCAGAGAAAATTTATACCATATTATACAGATACAAAGACTGTAATAGACCTACATTCTAACTTAACAAGTAGTAGAACAAAGAAGGTGTTGGGGAAAAAAAAAAAAAAAAAGAGTGTTCATAGAAATCTTCATAAGGAAGACAACAATGTTGTACAGAAATTGTTAAAAATTATAGACAGGAATTAACCAACTGGAATATCTTCCCCCACATTTCTAAAACTGCAGTTCTTTTCGCTGTAATGCGTTTTATAAGAATGTTTAAAATAACTGCCTAACATATAGTATTAGAGCAACAGATATTAATGGAATCCGCAACAGCTGTTATCTGGCATAGGAGATTAGTTGTATTTGGAGCCTGCATGACAGAAGACTAAATGCTTCACTATATCATAAGACAAATAAAAAGCTCTCCCTTTCATGTACTGAACAAAAATTACAGCACTGCTAAGAGCAAACATGAAATTGCAATCTTTTACTTGAGAAATTTATGGAGCTCAACGCCTTTACAGATTAAGTATTTCAGCAGGTATGAAGTCAAACAACTCCTAGTATTATTAACTAGGAGAAGATGAACTCCAGACTTGGTCACACAAGGCATAAACCAAAACCTACTGGAATGAACAGAAAGATTATAAACAAGCTCGGATAAAACTCTGGTAGCCTAATTTAATGCCCACAGAAGTATTTCTTTATTGACTCTAATGGGAGTTAAATCAGATTCTAAATCCACCTGAAATACAGTTATAAACTGCCTTGGACATTTTTGTTTTGTGTGCATTAAGTTGCACATCTATTTAAATGCTCATTTGTCTTAGTGTGAGAATCAAGGAAAAAAAAGTGGGATCCTTACCGAACTCTATAAAACAGTACGGTCTGACAGCAGTATTTGTCTTCATCATATTGTAGGTAGTGATGAACTCTTTCTGAAGCTCATCCAGGAAGCAGAAAGCCAGGACACTGGGATAATTTTCAGTGCACAACATCATATAGCTTACTCCCAGAGAACTTATAAAGCTATAATTGAGGAAAATTCAAAATTTCAAATTTAAATCCAGGTAATTCCCTGCTTCGCTAGTCTGATCTCATATTCTATAATCAGAAAAGCAAAAACTGCTCTGGGGTAGCAAAGGAATTAATATTTACTGAAAAGTCCAACACTATTCTAGAAGAAAAACAATTTGCTTTTGGGCAATGTTTTACTTTAGCGCCACATTGTACAATCATAAGAGAAGCTGCATTATACATCTATGTGTATGTATATATATGCATGTGTGTATACATATGAACACACTCTCACATAAAGCTTTTGGGATACAGAAACACAGCAGGTTTGTCCTGTAATAGCTTTTCATTCATCACAAATGCAGAATATGTGATCTGGAAAATCCCAAAAAGGCAAAAACTTATCTTCAGATTGCAAGGGGGAGGGCAGTTGGTTCTTTCTAAAATATGTGAGGAAATAAAACTGTTCCGTAGAATACGGGATTCATCATTCTCCAAAGATGGTTGCAAAGATGACCAGAGATGGCAAATATGAAATTAGAAAGGGATAGTTTTCAATATACATATCCCTATTGCATGTAGGCAATTTATTAAATAGAGTTGACGTTTTCATGACACATTCAAATCTCTTCAAAATCTTGATGGATAACTTATACTATTAAAAGTAATCGAAGACCAAAGTAATAAAAAACATCCTGGCTAAGCCTTATGTCTCATTCTTAAAAGTTTCTTTTAAGCTGATCAGTTTACAAGCCAGCTACAGCTGAAGTTTTAAAAAAACATCGACGGGAAAAATTTGGTCCATGTTACACTTAATCAGTGTTACTGATATAATTACTTAATCGCTTTGTCATGCAGGTACACTATCAAATTGACTAGCTCAAAAAATTTAGGAATAGTTATTACAAAAAAAGTCAAAACACAGAAGTGTGAAGAGAAAACATGAAGCATTGTTGTGAAAGTGCTGGATGGAGCAGTAGGATAGGCAGGCTCCATTCAACCATTCAAGACTTTTACTACACACTGCCTTCGCACTAGAAAAATCATTCCTACCCCCTCACTCCCTGTGTGCCATATGAAATAATTATTGAGTTATGCTTGGGTTTTAGGGCATGTTTTCTCTGAAGTCAACAGAAATCCTGAAGGTACAATACAAGGGCCTAATTCCATAGCAACCTAATCACAAGTTTTCAGAAATATTGGGTTATGAAAGTATTTGGGCACTTTTAAAAATTTGTGTAGACTAAAAAGAGAAAACAAATGAATACTAGTTGAACTAGCATAACAAAGAACAAGTCTGGTTATTTTCATGTAGGAAACAACTTTGACATTTAAAGAAATATTTCTAGTAGGTCAAGGACTTTGATACTTATAAAAAGCTGTCTATTTCAAACTAGAACTTCCACCAAACTTTGAGTAGGTTTCAAATCTTTCCACAATTTCTCAATTTTAAATTTCTGATACATAAATACTGCCAAGAATTAATCTTAGTTTGATTAATCATTTCTAATGTGAACTGTTAACTTTTTAACTCTCAGACAGACACAACCCAGGACATCGCAAATACATAAGAGAAAAGTCTTACTTTATATTATACTGCCCCGTTTTCAGAGTACATCTATCGGGAAGCTGAGAAAGTTTCTTTGAGAGCATTTTAAAATATTTTCTACATTCTTGCATTCCCATGCTCTGGTCATAATCAGTCGATGCAGACAGTGGGAGTCCATCCCTCACTCGGACCACAGAAGCAGATAAAATCATAGACATTGCCAACAGAGTTAAGGACAACCTACAACAAAACACAAATCAGGAGGAATCAGAATTAAGGTAAAAACAAAAACAACAGAGTCAACTGTGATTAATCAAACTTCCCAAGCTGTATACTGGGCTCAGGCTTAAACTGGGGCATGAGGAGGATTTTCAACTACAACTCAGATTAAAGTCCTAACTGAATAGGACCTATTACTCTACACAAACCACAAAGCAGCAGCACATCTGACATCAATGTCATATTTTCAAATATTTTTATCTGAACTGCCATAAATCCTCACCTAGAGATACCTGTGGAGATTGAAACGTTATCACTTAGCCTTAGCACTACTGTAGCACTTGCACCCTTCAAGCTGTGAGTCTTCTTGTTTAGTGAGACAACAATTATAGTCTAAACAAACAAGAACAACAGCTGGAGAGGAAAAATGTGTACTGTAAAGATATGCCAGATGGAAAAGTGATACAGGTCTTGATCAAGCAATAGTATTAATGTGCTTTCATGAGACTGTGTTAGTGAGTACATGCTTAAGTACCCTGACAAACAGAGACTTACACAACTTACGTGCTATCAAATAGGAAATCAAGGATCAGGACAGCAAGGAATGTAATCCAGCTCTCCCAACTCACAATAGAATTTCTTAAACACGAAATGTCTTTTTTCTTATCTGGGTCTCCATTTTCTTTAAATCTGCACAATGTGTCTGTCAGTATTACACAAATACTGAGCACGTTGAAATGGTGCTCTGAAGGCCTACGTGCTTTTACAGCATTTAATTTTCAAAGCGTAATAATTAAAGCTTTATGGAATACAGTCACTTAAAAAAGAAAAAGTTGTGTATTTAAACATTTCTCGATCAGAAGGAGAAAATTTATAGCAGGCATTTAACAGTATAAACACATAGCCTGCAGACAGTCTTTCAAGACTGAAGACACATTTTTAAAATCTTCAAGTTCTTTAAAACTTACGTTAAATCAGAACATCCAAAAGTTTAGCAAGACAAGCACTAAAAGGATTACTTATCTGCTAAGTATCAGTACACAAATTTGTCCTCTTGCAAGTGGGCGAACTGCGAGAATTTATATGAAGCCAAAAGCAAACACTTCCTCAACTCTTAACACTGCTCTGCAGACTCCTACCATATACTACACCTATCACTTAAGATATTATGAAAAAAATAGATTTTTGCCTCCCTCAGATGATGCTACTCAAGTTCCATACAGTCACAAACTGAAAAAGAAAACAGATTTCTGAATACAGCTGAAATATGCTTTCATGTGTAATACTGACATGTTTACAGCACCTTTCAAACTATGACATTAAGGGTGCTTTACAAGCCTTAGTAACTGAAGGACCATATTCTGAAAAGACAGGAATCCAAATTTTCCCAAATTAGCTCTGCCTCTTCATAAAAGAGAGGAAATAGCTATTTTTCCCCTGAACTCTCACCTCCCCTATTTCCCACTACCCAAAGGTTATATATACATCAGGATACTTATCGAATAATAATCAATATTCAGGTTTTTCAAGGGTATTTACTCCTGTCCTGGTTTCAGCTGGGACAGAGTTAATTGTCCTCCTAGTAGCTGGTATAGTGCTGTGTTTTGAATTTAGGATGAGAATAATGTTGATAACACACTGATGGTTTAGTTGTTGCTGAGCAGTGCTTACACTAAGTCAAGGACACCTCAGCATACCATACTGCCCTGGCAGCGAGGAGTGCTCAGCATATAAAGCTGGGGAAAGAAGGAAGGGGGGGATGTTCAGAGTGATGGCGTTTGTCTTCCCATGTAACCGTTACACGTGACAGAGCCCTGCTTTCCTGAAGACGTCTGACCACCTGCCTGCTGACGGGAAGTAGTGAATGAATTCCTTGCTTTGCTTTGCTTGCACGCACGGCTTTTGCTTTACCTATTAAATTGTCTTTATCTCAACCCACGAGTTTCCTCACTTTCACCCTTCCGATTCTCTCCCCCATCCCACCAGGGGGGAGTGAGCAAGTGGCTGTGTGGTGCTTAGTTGCCAGCTGGGGTTAAACTGCGACAACTCCTCAGAAAGAAAGAGGTATATAACAAAAACATTGAAAATGTGTTGTAATTTTCAATTTAAGAAATTCAGCTTGATCAGCAGTCAAACTTCAACCTGCTTTGAGATGCATCACATTAGCTAAACACGCTCCAAATTAATACCCTCATATGTTACTTGTACAGCGTGTCAGACTTTCACCAAAGTCATAACACCAGCAGAAGTCACTGTTGCCTGTAGTCTGCTGAACAGCTCTGGGCTTTTATCAGGTACGCTTGTTATTTCAGCACTTCACTACAGAATTCCCTATTGTACAAAGTGCTTTGATCAGCTGGACACAAAACCAGAAAACAAAACAACTTTAGGACTTGCTCTAGATTAGCTTGCTGGAGTGAAGCATTCTAGAAATTAAACCTGCGGTTCTAGAAACTTTTACCTATCTCTGTCTGAGTTCATGCACGTGTTCCCAGCAGGACAATTCACAAAACTGCAGAGGAGGTTTAAATTGTAATGGTCCTCCAATAATAACCACCGCTACCACTTGGAACTCAATCCTGAAAGGGACTTCGGGGAGCTATATCAATATAAACATAAGAACAATGATGTGATAGCAAAGTTTAAAATTCCTTTCATTAACTTACTTGCACAAAATGTAATTTCATGGATCTGCATTTCCTCTGATGAAGCAAATAACTTCATTAGCACCTAACATGAAGAAAGGAACATAGCTCCATGTCCTGTTTTAGGAAAAGGTTGTGAATAGGACAGCACTGCAGGAGAAACTCAGAATCCTGTAGCCAGCTCTCAGAAGGAAAAATATTGTTCTGTTCACTTTTTAAATGATCTTGACGGTTAAAGTTCATGTTGGGCTATCTGATGAGATAAGAATAAACAGAAAAAGTTAATAAGTGTATTTACTGGCTAACAATATTCTTCAGCTCTTTTTGTGAGGGCATGCTTATTGGAAAGGCCTGAACACACCCCAGTCAAGGGGTACTCAAGTAAAAAGGAAACTAGAATAATATAAATATTAAAATGTTTCTATGTTCTTTAAGTGAAGTCGAGGAAATCCCATCACTTCAGCCATTTAAAATGGGAAAATATGTTATCCATCTGCACAGTACATGAGTAACTTAAGGTAACACAACCTTTGACTCTGAATCCTATCATTCACCTCATACACTAAGTTTAACTAATCTATAATCTCCTCTGATCAGAAACCTGAACACTTCAGGATCATAACACAACACAACCACAGCTGTATTTCCAAAGCATTAAGATTTTCAGTATTTGATCTAACAACAGTTGCTTTACTCCTACAACTAAGGACAAAGAATATAAGTATCACTAACATCACTGTGTATGCACGGACAACAGACAAAGCAAAGGATAAAGACCCTTTTAGAGGTATTCCTTCAATTTTTATGTCTACTCTATATGTATATAAATATTTGCATAGATCTAGAACAAGACCAGTTACTTTCTTCAAGACTCCTACCTATATTTAGAGAAATCAGGCTCTCTAACAGAAGATAAGCCTCCATTAAAACCTGCCAGGTCTCTTAATGTACTATGAAATCATGCAAGGTAAAAATTGTGTTTAAATGAACAGTCTTAAGATCACCAGTCAGCCAGGTTTTGTTACCATCTTCTTAAAAACCCACCCAGTGAAAAGATGTACTTTTTCCTCAGCTTCCTAATAGCAGAATCAGAAAGCTATCTAAAAAATGAAGCTAATAAAAGAAAATCACTTTGGTTGCAAGATCACAGACATAAAGAGATGTGCAATACACATACTGTAACAGTAGTCAGCATTACTTGAAAATGTATTAATAGAGAAAATAAGTTTACTAAATCTTCAAAATGAAAGAGCTACTTCAATCAGCTCTCAAAACAATAAGGCTCTACAGAAGGAGCCAGTTGGTAAATTTGATATAGACTTATATAGGTAGAGATTGGACAAAGAACATTAAAAATATGGCAGTGTTTTTAGAACTATATTTAAATGTCTTTTTTTAAACATCTATTCAAAGTGATTCACTATACCATTACAAATTTCATAGGTTTTCCTCAAAAAATTCCATATCAATCAAACACCTGAAGATGACAAAGGACTGCACTCCCATTACACATGGTCTATAATTCCATTACAGGCACAAAGAAACAAACAGGGATTGGGTTCACTATCTCATTCTATGACAGAACTGAGGAGTATCAAATCCAACCAGCAGGTGTCAGGCTCATGGGTACCACAGATGGCTCTTCTCAAAACATGCAGTTAGCCAGTGGAACTGCTTGTCACAGGATGCTGTCGATGCTAAAATGTTATGTGAATTCAAGAGGCAACTGGAAAAGCTCACAGAAAAACTACAAGGATTGTTAAAACTAAAACACTACCCGTTGCTCAGGGAGATTCTGACCCCCAAACGATGACCAACAGAGAACACACCACAGAAGCATCACTCCATGCTTGCGCTATTCTTACGTTTCCCTGTGTGCATCTACTTCTGACCCATCTTTATTGATTTCCCCTTACCCCGACACTATACAGCCCTCCCTGAAAATGAGGGCTGGGAGAACTGACAGAAAAGAGGAATGTGGAGAAAGCTGGCCACAGACAGATAAGAGTCAACTGAAATGATCATTCCTCTGCTACTCCACCCTCCCTAAAGCTGTCCAATTTATCACACACGTCAACCTCCACTGCTTTCACAAATAGGAATTATCCCATGTGGCTTCAGTTTAATTTCCTCCCATGAGCGGGAAATCTCAGATGATGGAAACCAGAGCCTGTCTTACTGTACTTTTTTTTTTTTAAGACAGATTCAATTATCATCTTGTTTATTTTTGTGTTATGATGGTACTTGATCCTGAGGCAGCATCTAGAAAAGTCCTAGAAAGTAGTATACATTCCAGTCTTTTGTAACTAATTGGTCTTCCAACTTGTGATCTGACAGTAATTGTTTTATATCCATCTGACATCTTCCCATAACTTTTTTTACAAGTGAGTGTTTAAAAGTGACCTGTGAATATGGTTTGCTCAGGATACTTTAATTTTTTAAAAACAGTCAATCTTCACAAAAAATGAAAGATTCTAAGTAGATCTAGTGTAACGGCAAGCCTACCCTCCTGCACCTGCTAGCCTTCAGCACCAACTTAATCAAGGCATTTCTTGCCAGGATGTCTGCCTCTCATGATAACCTTCCACAAAATATAAAATTGGGAAGTGGGTGCAAGCCACACACCTGCCTGACGCAGAAGGAAAATACAATTTCTGCACTTACTTCAAGTGTACAATTTATTGTCCCCACTTTGGAGGGTTGTGACAGTTGCACTACGCAGGCAGGAGTCTTAATTTTTCCACTCTACAGCATACTTCAGAAATCCATATTACAAACCAAAGCACTACAGAAGAACACAACTAATAAAGCCACTTTGACATCATCAGGTGTGATCAAACAAGGAAATAATCCTAAACCACTAGCCCATATAATCCTTTCCATAAAGCAAAGGAAAAAGAGACCTTGGAAACAGAATCAAGATTCCAAAAAACTAATGGAACAGAACAAGCTGCATCCCAAAGTTTGGGAACTTGACCCTTTCATCTACCACCTACTTATATGGCAGCTTGGACATGATCGTTTGCACTATTTGCAACGGCAGGCAGAGGTGATGGGGTTACTGACTTAAACGGGTTTGCACTGCTTTAGATTGCAAAACTTTATACAAAGACATTGATGGCTACACACATGGCCAGCCAGGAGAGCGACAGATCCCCGCTACAACAGGCTTCTGCTACGAACCGACATTTAGGACGAGGCCTGAG